TGGTAATTTGGTAGTGATAGACAATAAACTTCATGATTGTAATTGACTATAACTGATGGCCTGAAGTGACCTTTCCAGTCTCACAAGAAAATATTTTGTAACTAATCAGAAGAGTATAACAGTTTGTTTTTTCTTACTGTGTTTTTACTTTATTATTCCTGAATGTTTTCATGCATTGTTTTGACTGACTCCTATTTTTTCAAACAAATCCAGGTTTTCAATTTTTTACTCCATTGGTATTGTAATTTTAATTAAATCTAAGATTTTTTTTATTTTTTTTCTCCGGTACTATGAATGCTTTCTCTTGAAAGTCACTATATTGAGGCACTAAATTAGATGAGAGTTTTGTGGTTGAGCCTGAGTTATGGTTTCACTGACAACATTGGGCAGTGGAAGAGTTTTTCTCACAGTTGTGATGTTCTTGAACATTTTTTTATGGGATGAGAAAAATCTTTCAGTTCTCAAAGATCTTAATAGAAAAGGGGAAAAGTAGTGTCTCCCAGACAAGTGGGAGAAGTGCGTTAACATACTCAAAAGAGCGACTTTGCAGTCAGGCTTTTTGTAGCTGTTTACAAGTGTTTCTGTTTTGACAAATTAATTTGGCAGAACTCTGTTAAAAAAGAGAAGATAATGCTGTCCTTTTTTTTCTGTGACTAGTAAACTCATATAGTTTTGTTTGTGAAGAGACTCTGAGAGAAGGTGAAGTGCAGCTTGAAAGGATGATTTATTCTGACTTACTAAACCCAAAGTACTTTAAAGACAAAACCAGAAGCTGGTATGAATAAGCATGTAAACTAGGACAGAAAATTGCCATGGGTAAATCTTACTGGTTTTTATTCTGCATCTGTGACTGCTTCCTTCAGGATGTGCTATGAAGTCATTCTGGAAAGAAATGGATGTAGTGTACTAATGATAGATTTTAAATATTAAATTTTCTTTTTAAATAAAGACCAAATTTAAGCCAGATATATTGCAGTCAAAGGGAAAATAACATTTCACAGAGTCCAGACACTTGATCTTCAAAATTTTGCTTTTCAGTAAAGAATTATGTGATGCTTATGGTCTCTTTCATTAATTTTTGCACTTAGTGTATGTTGTTATTTTTTCTAACTTAAAATACACATTTTGAAAAGAAGTGTCTTGACAGAAGGGAGATAAGTAATTGAAGATAACTACTTGAAAATGCAGAAATCTTTTGATTTATTTATAAATTGAATATTTTTGTTCTTCTTAACAGAATTTCAGAAGTTTCTGTCCAATCTAGTTTGACACACTGCAAATTATGAAAGTAATGTTGAGTCACCATTTTCCAACATAAGAGTCAGAAATAAGAATATTAATAAATTAAATGAAATATTGCGAATTGGAAAAATGTTATTAATACTCATAGAAATAAAAAAATCACATTTGGTGGGAAGTTTTACAAATCAACATGTTTTAATGGTTACTGACAAGTGAGACAACCTCAGTTTAGGAAGCTAACTAAAACCTACATATGTGAAATGAGATTAAAATCTTTATTTAAACCCTCAGGGTTTGGCTAGTTTGTTTGAATGTTAAAATTGATTATTTAAAACAGATTTTTGATAGGTAGTATTGTGTTAGATAATATGGAAGTAGATAAATGAGTGGCTTTCCCAATTCAAGGTAAAAAATTAAAGGAGGAGAAATTAGAGGGCTTTTTGCACACTGGAGGAGTTTATGGGCAGAGTAATACTTAACTACTGCAGTGTCATTCTGTGAAGTTTAGTGGTAAATAGATCACAGAATCATCTCGGTTGGAAAAGACCTTGAAGATCACCCACTCCAGCCATTAAATCAGCAGCCTTATTTGTGATTAACCAAGTGAAAGCCGCCTTAAGTGGTTGTAGTGTAAAGGACTCCACAGTTCCCAAATTTTCTTACTGAATCCTTCATTGAGATGAATAACACAGGTCTTCCCAGAAAGGCAAGCCAGTCTTTTTGTCACCCTGTGAGTGGGTCTGAAGCAGCAGGGGCTGTTGTGGGGAGCAAACCAGTAGCTGCTTCATTCCATATGAAGACATCCTCAAGGGTTCTAGGCAGCCTGCTCTCCTACCTCACTCCAGATGTGGATCATCGGAACAGCAGGGGTGTTGCATTTGGTTGCAGTGAATCTTTATGTATGATAGCTGTGTGGGTCTCAGTCAGTTATTTGAAAGATAATTGGTTCAAATTTTGTGTTGCAGATTTTCACAGTTATACTCGTTTCTTTAGAGGGTAAAAGGCATCAGTTGCTGTGTAAATTTCTGACCTGTCTTTTAAAGGAGTTCTGATACTAGCCATGAGGTTCTCTTCTGTCTACAAAAGCATCTTTCTGTATCTCTTGAATATTGTATTAAGCTGAATTCTGTGAAGTGGTAGCTGCCTGTGTTTCACTTTGATTTTTCTCAAATTACAATTTATCAGCCTTGCCAAATTTCTGGGAAGGGCAGTCTCACTTCTCCCACAGCAGCACACTATGTTACCTAGAACTGTGGAGGCAGCCAAGAGGGCAGCCAATGGGTGAAAAGAGCAGCCCACCCCATGTGGAAGAGGATCCTACTCTGTAAAGTGCTAAAGCCAATGACCAATGATTAAGTAATTGTTAAGCTCCCCTGAAATAGAGTTTTCTGACTTCAAGATAGGCAACAGATCCCTCGCTTTCCCTTAAACTTAGGCTGGGGCTCAGAGGTTGGGAGAGGAATGAGTATCTTGTGGGAAGAGGAATAATTTAGTAACTGCTGTCTAAGATGTAATTGCCCAAGTAAAGAAGAGACAACTCATTTCTTGTCAAACACTATTTTATTTTTGCAATAAGAACACATTTAAAATCAGGATTTTCAAATCACTTCATTTCTGACTAATAAAAATAATGCTTATATTCTAGAAGTGAGTTCACACTGAGGTTGATTGTAACACTTATTTACATAAAGTAAATGTGAAACTTATTGATGAAACTTCCATAGTGATATTTATTTTATATAAACTTGAATGATACATAAAAGCTGCATATTTTCAGCCATTATTAAGAGACTGTAGTTTCCATTATGAATATATAATTTTACTAGTTTGCAAGACAAAGTAATCATGATGAGAGGGGAAAAAATGTTTCTTAGGCACTACATCTGAAATACAGAACCTGTTTATGCACAGAATTAGTTCTGTGATGATCTGGACTGTGGCTTAAGTCCTTCTGTAAATTTGGATATGTGAGCTGGAAAAAAGCCCAATATTTCTTGGGGGGGAGGGGGGAAATATTGAATTTTGTGGCATTCAAATTATTTTCAATGGTAAACTGGACTAAATGTGAGGTATGGGTTGTTTGTTCCACACACACAGACACCCACACACCCACCCCCCCAGCCTAATCCATATTTTATTGGCATGTAGTTTCAATAATTAATCAGAAATACTTTCACCTGCAATTCATTTCTACATAATACAAGGAAAAAACTCCCAAAACTATTAAGAGAGGTTTTGACTGAAATTCTCTCAATGCCTCAGATGCATTCTGTGCAAACCTTGAGTATGGTATTGCTTTTTCAAGATTAAACTAATTTAAGTGAATGCAAGCTTTTTCTGAAAAAAGACACATACATTCTGCCAGTAAATAAGGTTTGGAAATCACAGAATTATTCAGGTTGGAAAAGACCCTTGCGATTATCGAGTCCTACCATCAGCCCTACTCTACAAAGTTCTCCCCTACACCATATCCCCCAACATCTCATCTAAACGACCCTTAAACACATCCAGGGATGGTGACTCCACCACCTCCCTGGGCAGCCTATTCCACTATCTGACCACTCTTTCTGTGAAAATTTTTTTCCTAATGTCCAGTCTAAACCTCCCCTGATGCAGTTTAAAGCCATTCCCTCTTGTTCTATCGCTAATTACCTGTGAGAAGAGACCAGCACCAACCTCTCTACAATGTCCTTTCAGGTAGCTGCAGACAGTGATAAGGTCTCCCCTCAGCCTTCTCCTCCTCAAACTAAACAGTCCCAGCTCATTCAATCGCTCCTCATAGGATTTGTTCTCCAGGCCCTTCACCAGTTTTATTGCCTTCCTCTGCACTCGCTCCAGCACCTTGATATCTCAAATTGCTTTGTCTAGTATCTACAAAACCAGTATTATAATCAACTAAATTAAGGGAAGAAATACTGTTTGCTTAAATACTATTTTTTAATCATTTTTGAACAAATAATTCTTGCACTGCACTGCTAATCTAGATTAGAGAAGAACCATAGTCTGGCAATATGTGATGGATGCACCAGAGTGGCACACTGCTCCAAGATTTCCTGGGAGAGTGAAAAACCCTTCTTTTTACTCTGCTACATCATAAGACTAAGACAAAATATATATAGAAAGACTGACATTTATTGAGGCTGCCACAGAATAAACGCTGTTTTCATATATTAGTTGGACACAATCACTTGCATGGACAATGAAATATTGCTTATCTTTGAAATCCCTGGATATACTGTGTTTTCATGGAAAACAACTGCTCTCCCCCTATTCCTCACAAAATTATTGTTGCATTCTTTCAACACTAATTGGATCATTACTAGTGTTTTTTTGTAAATTTTTAATTTTTGCACTTTTCTAGGATGTGAAAAAACAATGCAATAAGAAATAAAAGTTGTAAAATATAATAGGATGAGTGGTTAGTGATTTTCATCATAGACTTGTAAGAAGTGAGTGTCTCAAAAATATGCAAAAAGATGTTTTATAGCAAATTTAACATGTATCTCAAACCTAAGATCTAGTGAGTATTTTCTGTTTGGCCTATATTTTTCCTGTTAATTTCCAGTGTAATGGAGTATTTCACTAAAACAGAAGGATTTAGGTGGAATTAAAGTTTTCCATTTAAACCAAAAGTCTTATCCTTAAATTTATAAACTAATCTTTTAAACCAATTTAATTACTTGAAGTAGTTAAATAGAAAGACAATAGTATGTCTTAAACATTTTAATACAGTTTCCTTATATACCAATGACAGTTAGCTTACATGAAGAAGATGGACCCAGCTATCTGAAACAGAAGAAAAAGCTCTTGGTACAAAGGATTTTGGTACTGTCCTGGCACAGTACATCCTTGCAAGAGGTGGAAATGCCTCTTTTTTTTTTTTTTTTTTCCCCAAAGAATATATATAAATCAAAATTTCTATGTCTTAAAAATGTTAAGCTGCATTAATTAATTCTGTATTGCTAAACAAAAAAGTGCAGTATTGATTAAATTATTTACGCACTTTTATAGTATTCTTGTGTATGTGATATAGATTTAAAAATAGAAAGTGAGGCATGCTGCACTGGCATTTGGGAGGAGAAAGGACATAAGGCAAAATTTAGGAAAGATTTGTCTGGGCAAAACATTGAACTCTGTATGGGACTATTTGGATGTTTTGTTAATTCTTTGAAGCACATGCTTCAGTTATTGTAGAAGGAGCACTTTTCCTCCCAGGTCTTGACCTTCTGTTTGCTTTCACTGTTGCTTGGGGTTTTTTGTGGGCCAGAGAGTCTGGAACCTCTTGAAAAGGTCAAAGGAGGCTTGAATTTCTTCCATACCAGTCTCTGGCTGTTATAGGATTTCCTAGCTGTAGCCAGCAATATCAGGACTGCTGGACATTTCTTGACTTAAAAAATTGGCAGATTGGAGTAGCTGAGGAAGAGAATTTCTTACTTGTGTTTATAAAAATGTGAACTGGACTCTACTGTTTTCGGAGGAGTTTATCATTACAACAATGCTTGTTTCTACAGTGCTGTGATAAGTAGGAAGGAGGGCAGCCTGCCTGCCAAAATTCAGAGTGGTTTGATCAAGAAGCTTAACAGTTTATTGAGCTGTATTTGTGGTAGCGCTGACTGGATCATGAGAGGGACAGAAATAAAGTTCTTAGTAGCTGGTATGCACTCAAGGGCCCAGTTACACACATGTTTTGAGGTGCCTCTGGATCTGATTGCAGAGTGCCAGGAAAACAAGTCCAGCGGCATGGAACAAACAAGGCAGTGTATCCTAGACATCCTTTTAAAACCTTTATGAAAGCCTCTTTGAAAATGCTGTCAAGCTGTTTGAAGGCATTTGAAAGATTTTTCCTTCCTGAAACTTCATTTCCTAGGAGAAGAATGCCTTTTTTTAAACTTAATTCTTCAGAAAGTGTTAAGTTCTGATCCCCTGACAGTGGAAGACGTAGGTGGTTTGTTTGTTATCTGAGAACTGGCTTAAGGGCTTAATTCTGCCTTCACATTATCTGTTGCAGAGTCTCCCTGAAATTAATGTAGTGTATTTCTAAGTAAAACTACCAGCCAATGTAAGATTAAGGGACAAAATTAAGAACAAGTTAATATAAGCAAAGAACTGGATTATTTGTATTTTTATTTGTTTAATTAGTGAAACTATAAAAGGATTTTTGTGAACTTTCAGTATTGATCTCAGTAGAAGCCTCTGAATAGCACCTGGAATAGGGCATTGTTTTAATTGGAACGTGGAAAAAAACCCTTGTATTGAAGTTACAGAAGTAACTTTTAGTAATCATCAAGCAGCATATGTTAATTTATATGGTCACTTTAATATTTTACCTTTTTAAAAAAGCTGTAGAGTTTATAAATGTAATCATACTTCTTTTACTGTACTATTTGTTATTTACCAGAAGATTTTTTTTTTTTTTTTTTATATCCAGGTTGTTAGGGATATTTGGTCATAGCACTCATTAGTCAATCAAGAATGTTGCTCTGGGAAAAATGGGAGCTGCCTTTTGGTGTATACAGTAAACCTCTTCCCCACCAAATTGAGTCTTTAGGAAAAATTTAGTCAAAGAATGAGTTTAGGTGTATGGCAAACCTCTTAGACACTAGACAGTCCTGTGAGATTCCGCTGAGATGCAAGATTTTTATAGCTCTATGTTGTTCAGGGAAGTAAGCAAACATCAGTGCATGCTTCTGGCCTGTTCTTCAAATTGAGGGATTTTGAGGAAGATATTTCCCTCACCACTCTTCCACCTCATTGAAATAATGTGTGTGCCTGAGTTTGCAGAAAGGAGACATGCCTCAAGGGCAGTAGATGCAGGAAGTTCAGATGGTAGGGTGTGAATTTCTAGGAAAGACTAGAGGAAAGGCCACTTTCTGGCTATATTCAATCTAGCCAAAAAAATTTCACATGTACTTAATCTATGTGATATGTCTTTCTGCAGTAGAAAAATTGAAGAAGGTTGCTTTTGAATTACACGTTCTGAAAGTATTGATCTTTAAGGCTGTCTGTGTATGCTTTGAATGTTAATGTTTATCTCCTTTCTCTCTTTCTAGCTGCAATGTATGCTGTTTTCTCTACAGGACTATAAGCTTTGATATTCAGAAGAGCAAAACTGAAAGATGCCATCTGAGAGGTGTCTGAGGTATAGTACTTGGTAGCTTGTATGAAGTCATTCACATTTAGGATGACGTTTACCAAAGCATCAGTCAACAGATAGTAGAAAAGAGAAATTAATATTTTTGTTTATTGGTAATTCATATTATTTAATATAAATCCATGCTATAATCTGCAAAATATTTCTTTCTTGTTGCCATTTTTCTCTAGCAAAGAGAAGCATGCCTGGGATTTATTTGGATCCCACAATCTCTTCGTATGTTATCTTCTTTATGTCTTTGTCTATACTTGGAATTTTTGATTGTGGAAGCAACTGGTCTTTTACATTCATGTGTTTGAATTGCTGGCTTGTGATCATTTTTGGTGTTTGTAGTGTTCCACTCTTCAGGACATCTATTACTCTTCCATCCAGTTCTTTGAAATCACTTTAAAAGCATTCTCTCTAAACTTGTCTTCCTGCCTTCCAGAATCTCCCATTCTGTCTCCCTTTTATAGAGTCTTAATAATCTATATGTACTTGCCAGTCTATCCTCTCTCATTTATTTGTATTGCCCATTGTTTCATCAGAGATTTGATAGTTGTAATTTAATTAGTTTCTGGGAGCACTTTAAGGCAGAATGCTCAGAATTTATTAATCTAGTTACTTTTCTGCAGAACCTTGCACTAGTCTGGTACACTGGTGGTAGTTCTGTTACGCAGAGTAGTTAACACCCATGGGCTGATCTGGGAGCTCAGAAATCTACTTGATAGTACTGGGACATTGTGTCATTCCAGTTCTGTTCCCCCTTCCCTTCAATGCTTCCCATGCCCTGCCGAAGAGAATCAGGAATTCCTTGCATTTTACAACTGTTGTGTACATTAACAGACAATATCACTAAAAAGTGGCCATGTTATATTTAATGAATCAGTGCTTTTTCATTCATAAATTCCAGTTATATTGCCTTGCAGGTGTATACATTCTTTTTATGTTGTTAATACAAGGGTTACAGGCAATTGATTTTTCACTTTGAATTGAAAGAAGGGTTATGATAGAGCTCAAGTTAAAACCACAGATGTGTGATTTTATGTATATACATTTGTATGTATATATAAGAATAAAAAAAATCCCCACAAAAATTACCCTTGTGCCTTGTTCCTCCAATCTGTTTTCTGTTGAGTGAAATAATAATTTTCTTGTGCTAAATCACCTCTGGATGATTTTGAGAAAAGCAAGAGAAATGAAGGGCTTGGATCACAACATTGTGAGGGAGGCTAATAAAACCAGAAATACAGAGAAACCATCTCTAGGTCTAATTAGCTTATTATACTTCCACAGGTTATCTTCCAATTTTTTAATGTTCCCTTAGAAAAAAACCAACCCAACACCCTCCCCCTGAAACCCCAGTCTTCTTCCAGGATTTTCAGGGGAAAAACACGGTGAGCAGACTGTATCCTGGAGTTCTCCAAGAATCAGTTACATAACTGATGGTTAACCTTTGATTTCAGATTCTTTATTGCTATTGATGAAGACTGGAGAAAAAAATACAGTTTTATTAGTTAATTTTTTTAATACAGCAAGTTTAACCTGTAGCATTGCCTGCCCAAAATAATACCTCTTGGTTTGATTTAGTCAATTTGCTATAGAAATTAAAGAAGGCAAATAATTGTTAGAAATAATTTCCTTGTTTTTTAACAAATTACATTTCTTGATAATTGTCATGTAGAGTATCAGTGAGGTTCCACAAACAGAACAGTTGAAGGAAAAAGAATCATTTGTTTGAATCATTTTGAATTGTATGTAGGGTATGTCCATGTGTGAAACCTAAACTATTAGAGAGGGAGTGGAATTCAGATATAGGCTATTCCTGTGTAACTCTACTTCGGCCATCCTTCTTGAAGTAATTTCTTCATTCTTGTCTTTCTAAAAGATTAGGTTAAATTAGAGCAAACAGTCTACAAGGTCTGCATTGGTTTACAGATGCCCAAGTTGCAGGAGTGGGATAGGCAGTACAGAGTGTGTGTTGATTGGGAAAGGAGAATATAGCAGCCATACAGCTGCTGCTTAGCATGTATATGGGATGAATTACATGACTATAGTGGAAAAATGATGGTTTATTTACCCCTTAATCAAAAAAAAGTTATACCTTTACTTTGATTTACTCAGGAATGACTGTAAACTCACCTTCTATAAAGACCTAGGCAATATAAATTTGTAGTCTCTCACAGATTTCAAATATACTGCATTGGTTTGTGCCAAAGAGGATTTGCGGATTTGATTTGTTTCTGTTTGCATCAACAGTTACATTGGCTCTTTCTTCTGCTGTAGAAAAGGAGCTGCAATCAGACAGTCTTAGGCTGGATGACAAGGAAATCTTGTGTATTCATACAAGGAGATATTCAGAGGTGGTGGAAGGCCTCAGCATTTTAGAAACAAACAAGCATCCTCCACCCCCATACAAAACAAACAAACAAACACCCCCCTGACACTTCATAAACGTAAATGACCTGAAATATCTAAAACCAATCAGTAATGCAATATCAGACTTCAGCAGACCACCTGAGACCATGAGTCTTCATTCTTTTTAGTAGGACTACTTATATACATACAGATGTGCTCCTTTCCACTAATGCATCGGTTTGAGCCACTTAGTTTTCTGTTGCTCCATTGACCTAAGCCCATTATTCTTCTCAATTCTGAAATTATTCTGAATTAATCCAGTGAGTCCAGCTCACTTCCATTGCAGCAAATGAAAATCAGAACAGTTGAGGTTTTTAAATTCAAGTATATAATCAGGATTCATAATACTTTGTTATACTGAACTTTTCCTGTAACATCCATATATATAAAGATTTTTGACTGACAGGGTTCATGACATTCTTTCTTTCTTTCCAAGAATTATCAAATCCTGTCTTAGAAAAAGTTCTTCAATTTTTCTGACTGAATCTGTCTGTTTCATACTTTTTTTTTTTTTTTTTTTGACAAAATCTTTCCTCTGTCCCCTCTCAGTGTTCAGGAAATGCTGACAGGTCAGAGGCTGTGTCAGTCTAGCTCCCATAACGATGCTGTCCTGGCAGCCCTGAACCAACAAAGAAGAGATGGCATACTTTGTGATATCACCCTTATTGCTGAAGAACAGAAATTCCATGCACATAAAGCAGTCCTGGCAGCCTGCAGTGACTATTTCCGAGTAAGTCCAAAGATTTTTTTTTTTTTTTTAATTTTCTTACAATAATATTAAAAATTACACTGGGGATAGGAGACAGTGATGGTTATAGATATCATTCTGACCAAGCTTTAAGTCTGAGCCTATCGGGATTGCTGCACATTCAGTAGAGTATACAACTTTAAATATCCACATCATGTCATAAGACAGAAATGTTAAGAACATAATTAAGTTTATCATCATTATTTCTGGTTAGTCTCCCCCCTCCCCTGAGAAAGGCAGAACACATCTTTCTGTGAATCTTATGTCCCAGTGAAGTCAGAAAGTGGAAGCTTTTTGTGGAAGCCAGAGATTTGAGACACTTGTGACTAGAGCAGGGGAAGATGGGGAAAGGGAATTTAAATATTAATAAATGCAATTTAAATCAGCTTGGAGGAAGTTTTGTAGGGTTGTAGATGGTTATTCTTGAAGAGGTGGTCATAGCAATTTTTTTAGTGTAATAAAACTTATTTTCAGAAACAAATGTTACTGAAATGCAAAGGTTAAAATATTCTCTGGGAAATCTAATTCAGACACTCAACATGGAAAATTGAACTCAGGTGATAAAATCAGAGTAACTGGAAAATTGAGTTTGTAATAGGAAGAGCATTCTTCGTATGAAGCAATTCTACTGACTTTCATTATAACGTACCTATTCAAAATGTTGGACTGTCTATAGCTCTTTAGTTGACTGGTGTTTCTGAGTGTGAGTCATCCTGTTGTTGCTCAGAGACTAAAGTAGAAATTAATTTAAAGGTCTGTTTTCTCTAACAAAGTAAGTTTATTTAATATTTTGCCTACAGGGTAATTGCAGTGCTATGAACTTCTTTATGGTGACCTTTTTGTTTTGTTACAACAGTAATACAGTGTATGACAACTGCTCTATATCCTTAATTACCTAAGCAGAATTTTTATCTTCCTGTCAACTCTGTCTCTCTTTTGGTTAGAACTGAGACTTAATTTATTCTGTGTATTTAAGAAATATTGTTAACTTGATGTTACCTTCACTGTGGTGATACTGAGCCAATTGATTGCTCATTCTCTGAGCTTGTCTGCATTCTTATGTGTTCTGCTGCTGCATACTTTGTACTACCATAGCTTTGTCATGTTGCCCTGGCCTGCTGTAACACTGCTTACCACTTTTTTCCTTTTACCCCAGTGTGCAGAGAAGGATTTTGGAGCACTCTATCTCTAGCAAGTGCTATATTTACTTGTTGATGATAGATATATTACAGGCCTACTGTTCTGCTTTGATTGAAATATTTTAATAAGGGTGCCATATCATTCCTCTGCACGTGTGACACATAGTCCTTCCAGAGCTCATTGTACCCTGTGCATAGAAACATCATAGAGTGGGCAGCTGTACCAAGCAGTGTGGTAGGCACAGCTTCTACCTCCGTCACTTACTAATTGACATGGAGATTGGGGCACTGTGACTCACCCTCTTATTTCTAATTGAGTTACTTGGTATTTGCTGGTCAGTTACAGCAAATTAAAATCTTAATGCCCTGCGGAAAGGAAAAATAAAAACCAAAAGAGTTTTGCAATAAATCAAATTGCTAATTGCTACATAAATATTATCTATTAAAAAAACCCAAAAGTGCAAGAATGATGTATGCAGCTTTTAGTGATTTGGTCTGACTCAAAATTGTTATTATTGGGCAGGACATATTCTTTAGACTTTAGGTATCAGCTATAAATATGGAACTCGTACTTAATGTAATCAGCCAAACAGGTTTTTATTATTAATGGACAAAAAGCTTTGTTAGAAATTGTGAGATGAGAAGAGATTTATGTTCTGTAGGAAGATGGCAAAAATGTTATTATACACTATGTTCCTGATTCTAATAATGTAGAAGAAGTAAGAGTTGATTAAAAAATAATGTTTTGTATTTAAACTGAGATTATTAATGTTTATATATCTAGGGGGATTTTGCCTAATTTGAGCTACCTGAGTATTCATTACCTAAGATTTAGGAGAATGATGCCCAGTTTCATTTAGAGCCAGTGAAGACAAACATTTCCAGAGGGTGATGAAAGAGAAGATTTATTTAGGATGAAATGAATGACCATCTGGAAGTGCCAGATCTCTCTCCACTGGTCATAAAGACCAGACTCACATTCTTCAAACTTAGCTGTTAATATTACATAAGATGATTTCTGCCCTTAATTTTTCTTGGACTTCCTTGGAGGAATTCTTTCATGAAGCTTGCAGATTTTCTAACCCTGAAGTAATTTACGAAGTCATTGCTATGGGAAACTTACCTTTCAACTAATTTTTGTAAGATCTAAGTGCAGTACTGCAGTGGATGGGATTCTGGGAACATCAGGTGTTGGAGTTGCCTTGAGTAAAAACTCAGGTGACAGCATTATCCATCAATATGACACAAAGAACTTGCCTACTGTAGCTTCTCGTTTCGACATAGATTTGATTAATATACCAGCCCTACCTTCAGCTCTATGTGGAGAGGCTGTCACCCAATTCTTATGATCTCACAGACTATTCCAGAAATGTGTTCAGTTCTACACAGGGGTCTATCAGAATGAATCAGCATGATTTTTTTTGTTTGTTTGTTCTCTCTTTTTTTTCCACTCTTGTAAAACAGCTGTATAATAGACTAGGTATTTGGTTTCTACAGAGCTGTTTTATGGTTTTCTACATATTCTGTGTCTACTTTGATTTAGATGGAGATAAATAGGAAATTGTGATGTTTTCTTGATGAGAATAACAAGTCAGCTGAGTGGCATATTTTTTTTTCAAATTGCCACATATTTCTTTATTTTACTGCAAAAAAAAAGTTTATTAGCACTTTAGGAGGATAGCTAAATGTGTCATGTTACAGACAGGGAATTGGAGGCATTGTATGTGGAAGAGTGGAGAAGGTCAAACAGATGTTGCCTTACAAATTTTTCTTTGACATTATAGTCTGGAGTAAAATCCTCATTTGCTTTTCTAAGACAAGCCGGAGATATGATCTTCAGCAAAATAGTAAGGGCCAGCCTTCTAGGGTAACAGCCTGCCATCCTTTCTTCTAGTTGGTATAATTAGTCTTGTAGTTCTAGCTGTGCAGAAACATTAGAATTTAAATACTAAGCATGGAACCTGATTTGGGAGTTTGTTATATTTGTACATTAAAATATTGTGACTTTTTCTTTAAGAAAACAAACCCTTAGGAGATTGCATAGAAAGACTTCATTAAAAATACAAAGTTAAACTGTAAGGTTAGACACTTGAAAATAAGGGTTTTAATTTGTTTTCTGTTCAGGATCTCCTGCAGTCCTCTTCTTTCAAAATGAGCTAAGGAATACTTTCAAAATGAGCTAAGGAGTAGTTAGCTCCATACCCTAAAAGACTCATATAAAGAATAGTAAACATATGTATTTTTGTAAATTCTTTTTAAGCAACAAACAGTGTTTTAGGCAAACTTTTCCATATGAAATGGTGTAATTTGCTATTTGTCTCAGTCTATTGCAGTGAGTCAAGGTGGTTGAGTTAGTAAGTATGTGTGCATTATGATAACTCTAGCAGGCTAAGTCATTTCCAATTAAAAGATTCTTTTTCTTTTTCCCCCTCTGGGAGCAAAATGAAACGTTACTGCATGACTTCATTAGTAGGCATTTACAGTGTTGGCAGGTTATTATATAACCTCAAGATTTTCTTGTACAAAATGCATTGGTTTTCCAGTCAGAACAATTCCTTTCTTCCTTATTTTTCATTTGAGTGGGTTTATAGTCACAGGACTTTGATCTTTCTCAAAAAGATGCATATTTTCCATGCAATCTGGATGAACACAATTATATCTATTAACTACAATAGATTTTAAAATGTCAGTAATATTCTTTTTTTTTTTTTTCCACAATGAGCATGTTAAATTCTTAGAAGAATGTTTCTACTTTGAAATGAACTACTAGATACTAATTTTGCATACAGACTTTGTACTTATAGCTGTCACAGTTGATTCTTAAGCAGTTTCTTTTCAGGGTCTTTCTGTGACATCTTTTCTCCCTGTCAACAGTTTATTCCTGTGTACGCAACATTGCTGATTGTTTGTATTTTGCAACATATTGCATTGTTTCTTGATAAGGTTAGAAAATTAATTTTTACAAACAAATCCCTGAGGTATGATGCAAATAACTTTCAAGGCCTTGTTAATGAATCTGAAAGAGGAAAAGGCTCTCCCTAACATGTCTTAGAGATAGATCTAAGGACCTAGTTTTGAGAAATTAGAATTACCTGCTGCTTTTGCAGTATAATGGGATTTTGGTTTTCAGTGTTTTACCATAGATGTACGTGGACTAAATGAACAGCATTTTGCTTGCTATTGTACCCTGAAAGTGATGCTACTTAGAAGTTGTATTTCCAGATAACATTTATAAATGTTAGCTCTTTCCATTGGACAAAATCACTTCTATTCTTCTAGTAATATCTAGTCATTACTATGACTTTTGTGTCAAAAGAGGCTTTTACTCTTATTTTTAGTTTCCTGTATAGGTTGAGAAATACTTTCTTGTATGTCTAAATGTTTTCTGGGATCATTTTAATTTCATTTTCTCAGTTAGAAATTATGATATATTTGAGAAACTAAAGTACTTCATCTGTATCAGTTGCCGAACACATCTTTGGTAGATTTCAGTCACATAGATTCACTGTATCATCTATAACACTGTTTCTAAACTAATGCTTTTCTTCATTTTCTCTAAGCACATGGAGTAATTTCTTTTGTTGTGTTGCATATGCCTTTCTTTTTTAAAAATAATTACTGCAGGTTGAATAATGCAAATCATTCAGTCTATCCTTCATAAGGATATTACCAGCCTTAATTACCTAGCAGATAAGTTGAATTCCCATATGCTTGTTGTCGACCTGCAACTTGCACCCAAAAGCAGTGTTTTAATGAATTTAAAACCTGAAGTTCTAAGTTAAAAGAATCTTTGTGAACAAGATAACAAAAAGAAGGAAATGCAAGTAACAACAGATTCTGCTT